CGTCGCATCATCCAGGTGGGGCTGCACACTGGTGGTAGTGGGATTCCCCCTGACCTGTAAAGCGTTTTGAGTGGAGTGTCCAGAAAAGCGCTATAGAAGTGTAAGCAATTATTATTATATGTAGCCAGACTTGAAATTGCTGTCCTTTTTCAATCCCTGCTGACCTTACAACTGTAGTGTGCTCTCACGAGGCACCAGTTCTGTAGGGTTTGGACATTTACTGGGACAATTATTAACTGTAGCAGTAAGTCACAAAATTGATTATTTTAATAGCCTTATAACTCAAACAACGCATACACACACACAGGTACTAATACACAAGGATACATTTATTAATACATACAATATGCATGTAAACCTAACAGATCTTATCCTGAGGGTTATCAGAATACAAAAGGTATATATTCATTCAGTCACAAAGAGTTATACATATCAAGAGGGCATACGTTCGGTATATCATTCATTTAGACCGTTTCGGAAATGAACTTGGTCACAACGTCTCCACTAGATACTCAAAACGAGTACCTAACTCTAAGGAATTAAAGTGATATCAACTGGTTGGGATAGCAATTGAATTCTCGAGCTGTAGTGCAGTGAAGGTGAAGACTCATCCGATCTGTGGGGATTCAGACCTCCTGCGGGCACAAAGAGGCAGCTGCAGGCTTGTTGCTGTCCAATCCGCGCTCTCTGGCTCCGGGCCAGGCTCTGCTGTCCGGCCTGCGAGCACGGGAGAAAAGATGACCGCGGTGTCCCAGCAGGTCAGGAAGAGGACCGGTTCGTTCCTGACTCTTAGAACAGAGGAACGTTCTGGCACTCGGACCCACGGGCCGTTCCACGGTGGTCCGGGCTGAGTCTCGGGACGGTCAGGGGCCGCGCTCTGCGAGAATGTCCTGCCCTTGGGAGCCTTTCTGCTCCTGGGCCGTCCTGCCCCGGAATTGTCTCCCACCGCTGGAATTCTCCCTAGAGATTCTCCTCCTCCAGGCTCGCTGTGTTGCCTGTTTTTACCTGGAGGAACTTCAGCTCGTTGATTGGCTGAAAGTTTCGTGGGCATCAGAGACCCACGTGGGTTACCAGTCCATGATTGGTTGATCAAGGTGAGATACGACTCCCTTACACCTGACACCTAGGAAGGCAGTCCAGATGTCCATCCCGCTACATACGTTTATGCTTTGCGCGAGTGCGCGTGCGTGTTTTGCCAACCGGGCAGCTCACAGATTTGCTGAATGTCTCTGCTGGTTGGCAAGCGTTTGTCGTGTTCTTAAAATAAAAGAGTTGCTCAATTGACCAGTTAACTGTCTGGTTTCTTCAACTTTCACTCAGGAGGAAAAAAATCTGCCTTCAAACTTGAAAGAAACAACGATTTGACATTTAGCGCGATAATTATCGATATCGACTGATATGAACATTTTTATCGTGATAATGTTTTGGGCCATATCGCCCAGCCCTAGGTACAAGAGAAAAAAAAAACATTTAACCGCCAGGAGGTAATGAAGTAAATTATGTGATCAAACTGTATTTTTTTTTACATATA